TTTTCCTTACAATAAAAGTGAATGGTGACCAAGGGTTGTCCAGTATGGTGGCCCAGTAGTGCACAACACAACGAAATCTCCACAACACAAAGAAATCGCCACAATGCATAGGACTAATTTCGTTGTGTTGTGGCTTGTTTCCATTGTGTTGCGACTTGTTTCTGTTGTGTTGTGCTAATTTAGTTGTGCTGTGGATTGTTCACATCGTGTTGTGCTAATTTCGTTGCGTTGCGGCTTGTTTACATTGTGTTGTGCTCATTTTGTTGCGTTGTGTCTTGTTTACATTGTGTTGTGCTAATTTCACTGTGCTGCGGCTTGTTTACATTGTGTTGTGCTAATTTAGTTGTGCTGTGACTTGTTTACGTTGTGTTGTGCTAATTCCGTTGCATTGTGGCTTGTTTACGTTGTGTTGTGCTAATTTCATTGAGTTGTGGCTTGTTTCTGTTGTGTTATGACCTGTTTCCGTTGTGTTGTGGATTGTTTCCGATGCATTGCGGCTTGTTTCCATTGTGTTGTGCTAATTTGATTGCATTGCGGCTTTTTTCCATTGTGTTGTGGAGATTTCATTGTGTTGTGCACTACTAGGCAACCATAGTCATTCATGGGAGAAAAAAGTAAAGCCAAGCAATGACAGACCGGATGAACAGACTTGCTGTTTTGAAACAAACCTAATCCTTTAAAACCATTTCCAGTAAGAAATAATAACTCACAACAGAACATGATAATTACCTAAATTTGCATTCAGCAGGAACTCCTGAACACTCCCGTTTGTTTAGTGAGATTCAGTGCCAAGTGAATCAGTGAAAACAGCATCAGTCATTGTGACAGACAGCAGTGAGCCACTAATGAATCTAGACATTTAGCTGCTGGCTGCGCCAAAGCCCAAGCATCGCTCGATGGGACTCACTCCTCACTACGGCATAATTGCAATCTCCCAAGTGCCCGAGATAACATTAAACATATTATCGCCGTTCTCGCTGTGAGGTAAAGAGCACAATGAATCTGACATTGTTCTGTACATGACTTCCTCTCCTACCTGAGGAACGCATTCGATCTAACACAGGCCCTGCCGACAAAACATGCAATTTTCCTTTGCATGCATTTTTAATGGAGCTTCTTAGAAATGACTGAATGGCTGCTCAGCAATGAAGGAGGGGTGGAAAAACATGGGGGATTACTACAAAGGGACCTGTCCGTCAGCAAATCCGTGGCTTTGGAAAAAACTGATTTCTCATTTGGCTGCAACAAAAGGCAAGGCGAGGTTCAGTGTGAGACATACACATTTTGGCTGATAGCTGGAAGAAGGAGAAAACGCACATCAAATTTGGATGGGAGGGGGTGGTCATAATCTATCAGAAAAGCCATCAAGCATCAACCAGTGGGAAAAAAAGGAAAGAAACAGAGGAGGATCTAGCTAATGGGACAATAGTCACTGAAGGCCCACACTGTGCTTTGGTGGAGTATTTATTGGATGGTGTTTATATGTGGCCCTGCCATGGTGACAAGAGAAATGGGGCAGGGTTTTTCACACCTCAGAGAGAGCTGGGTAACAAACAGCCTCATTGAACCTCAAGAGCCGCTGGAGTTACAGGCACCATCAGCAACTCCCTACACTGTGAGCTTTTGTACAGTTAGCTTGGTAGAATAAAGGAAAAGCCACTTGAGGTTGTGTGCTACAGTGATTTTAACATGGGGAATGGGGGAAAAAGTTAAACTTTATAATCCTGACAACTAGTAAAATCGCTTCAACAATATATCTTTATAAAACAGTAACTAAAATAGATGCCACTAATGTTCAATTCAATATGACTAAACAATATTCATTTATTTTCTCTTGCAGCAGTAATATATAAATGTATTGATTTGTTATTTATTAAATAATTTCAAGGATAATAATAGTAATAATATAAGTAGTAGCCTAGTATTATTACTATTATGAAAAATAATATTTTTAATTTATCATTTAAATTATACAAATAAAATTAACCACACTAAATATATTACTATTGTAATAATAATATTGTAGTATAAAATAAAATATCTAGTATTTTATTAATAATAATAATAATAATCATAATTTAAAATTCAGGATGTATACATATAAACAGAAAAACAAAATCCCTAACTAATGTAAATTATTACATTAATCATAAGAAGAAGATGATCACAGAGATGTGAAAATAGCTATGTATTATTAATCAATTAAACAGCAATTAAAAAAATATTTTTAAAAATATCAAGCGCTTTAGAAAGCTTTACCCTCCATTCTAAGAGGAACAGCATGTTCTGTCAATGATGGCTAAATGACTGCCTGTCTGCTGCTGAAGAACAATGAAAACTTAGCTGTGTTCAAAGTAAAAACGTAATAACCGTGTCTCTTTATCTCCTAGAGGATTATGGGATGTGTGGAGCAGCAATCACAGCCAGTAAACAAAAGAGCTACTAGCAGATAATGATGAGAAGTCAGGCTGTTGTGCTGTAGAACTAACAGTAATTCACTAGCATGCCTATGGCTGAGATGTGTGTGTGTGTGTGCGTGTGTGTGTGTAGTTGCCGGGCGCCATCATCAGGGCTGCTCCCTGCAGGTGGTTGTTTATGTGTTTCCATATCTGTATTGGAAGGAAGAGAGAAGTCACATCTCTGCACTTAATGAGCTCTCCAGGCAACAGCTGCCGCCATACGGGGCACCACACGTACACACAGACTCAGTCACCCTAAAACAAACCTACAAAGCCAAATTAAATTGAAGACTCTGTGACTTATAAACTGGACACTGCTGAGTTTATTAAGATAGCAGGGTGAGAGCAGAGTATTTACACATAAATTCAGAGGTTCACAAAGTGCAGGTACCTCAGAGAGTTCACAAAGTCAGCTCAGGGGTGTGCAGGAGTCTATTTATCAGTGAGACGGACACAAAAATCACTTTCCCAAACCTCCGCATTCAGTGCAGCTTAATGCTGGAATGATCTTAACAATTCTATCCTAACAGATGATTTCTCTTGACTTTAACAAAATGCCCAGAGAAAAAACTGTTCTATAGCTAATTTCTTTCTTAAATGTATTAAAATTAATAAATAAAAATACTATTATCTGTTATTTCTCTGTGCGGTAAATACATCTTTGCTCTAGCCTGTAACAGTAATTCTGGAACTTTGTATTAAAATATAAAAATTATGGCTTTGGAACAATATTAACTCTAGTATCTGATATACTATACCTTAAAGGGGTCATATGATGTGATTTCAATTTTTCCTTTCTCTTTGGAGTGTTACAAGCTCTTGGTACACAAGATCTGTAAAGTTGCAAAGACTAAAGTCTCAAATCCAAAGAGATATTCTTTATAAAA